GGAATCTCATTTTCATCAAAGTTTCTATTTATATCCCTTTCTTGATGAGTACTATTGCTATTATGCAAATTGAATGAGTCTTCATCCTTCTCTGAGCCAGCATGGCTTTCATCTTCATGTTCCTCTTCTACTCTCCCTTTTCAGTGCTTTCAAAAATTCACTCTTATCAGTGTGAATTCGTGTCAGTTTGGTTAGACAAGGCTGTTGATTAAAAAGAGGCAAAGAGGAATTTGAACAATTACACTCTTTCACTGAATTTGTTGATGGACTAAAATTCTTGACAGTTGATTTAAAAGCATTGAAGTTGCCAACACTATATGCAGACTCATGAGGGAAAGAAGTTCCACCTTTATTTTCTTTAGTTTGGCTTTTCCACTGTATAGGTTTTGTAGGTGGAGCGGCAGGCTGAGAGATTAAGCCTTTATAAACACTTGGAGCAGTTCCATTCTTAACTGACTGTGACTGAAGATTTCCTACTACCGGGAATCCAGATAGCTGTAAATCTTTTGTATTACCTTTCTTAATGACCAGCATTCTTGGAGCTCTAGATTTAGGATTCGGAGAATATTCTAAGAGAGGAGCTTCGGAGATTTTTTTGGTTGGGTAGTATGTGTGTGTCTGGGCGTGTAGGCCCTATACACCTGCAGCTAAAGATTTTTTCTGATTTGGTTCTCTTTCATATTCAGGATTTAAAGATGGAAAGTCCTCAGCCTCAAACTGTTTTTGCTCCCTTTTGTCTTCTTTCCTCCCAGTTTCATTGTCAGGTATGTTGTTTTCATGTAGTCCTTGGCTTTCTTCAGAATGGAAAATACTGCTACGAGAATGAGAATTTCCACCATGGTATCCCCCTCGGTGAGTTACGTTTTCAGTAGTATTTCTACCATGTGTACGCCATCCATTTTTTTCTTTCCTTCCAAAGGTACCTCCATTAGGACGCCCAATACCAGAATCAAAGCCATCTGAAGAGTTATGTCATCGACAGTTCACATCATATCGATTTTCTGTCCGTGAAAAATTTTTAGAATGTTTCTCAAAATTCTTTGAGAATTTTGTTGATGATGGTGGAGTAGGAAAATTAAGCCAGGCTGGAGCAAAGTCATGCTGTGCCATTTAGGTCCACTCTCTCTGACACAGTGAAACAAGGCTTCAACACCTCGTGGCAAGTCCCAATTCCAACAGGACTGCACAAGGTGTTGATTTTTTCTCTGTAATCTTTATGTTTTCCAGTTTGTTTTTTTATTTTGTATCCTCTGAAGTATCCAAGTTCTTTGAAGATAGTTAACCTATGACTATTTGACATAGAGTTATTTCAAGTCAGCTACCCATTCTTCTGTTTTAAAGTTTTCATATGGCTATCTCCAAAATTAGCCAAGTTCCTTGGATTTAAGATCAAAGCCTTCTTTATTATTCCATGTACTTGTCACTGTTGTACTTATCCTACTCCAGAAGAAACATCCAAGTTATGAGCCAAAAAGTAGAAACAAAAAGAAAATTTCACATCTGAAGCGTAGTCCTAAACTTCGGCACACAGATACAAATAGCTATCTCAGTACTACCACACTGGTGGGAAACTGCAACATCTTAAATTTTCCTGTAAGTAAAAGATGAAAAGAAAAAAACTCTGTATTCTTTCAATGTCTTCATCTAGAAAAGCTGTTCCATTGAGACATGAAAAGGATTGAGGTCAGAAAATCCCTAAAACTTTTAATAAAGGTAAAAATAAATTGCCATTAAACTTCAACAATATTTAAACTGTAATTTGAAACTGCTGAAACTACTCAGTACACAAATCAATCATATCTTACAGTTTTGGCTGAAGAACACCAACAAGAGAGGTTGGAGGGGCGCCACCACCTGAAATACGTTAGCCAGTTATATAATCTGTCTGAAGCAAAATACTGATGAAATGTCTGGGTCTCTTACTGAGTAGCTTGTTGAATTGATAGCACTATCAATTCACTTCAGAGATGATTCTTGCCAATTTTAATAAACTTCTGGGGCAAAATTATCCGAAAACACTGTAATTCCAAAATGGCCACTTGAAGTATCGGGGGCCTTTTACACAAAACCTAGAAGATGGTGTTCACATCTGAGTAATTCAGTCACCTTCTGCCCCACCAGAGGTACCCATGGCCAGGGGGTGCCACTGGGCTCAATCCCGGGAGGAGGTTTTCGGTGCTTTTGAATAATCCCCTTTTGCCCGAGAATATTATTTTTAAGTCACTAAAAGCAAAACAAAAAACTTCAGAAGAATATGATCAGATTTACAGTTTGGAAAAGATCACTGGCTACAACATAGAAAACAGATTGATGGGTACTGAGTGCATGTGGGGAAGCCAGTTGGTGACTTTTTGTGCAGTGTGACAGATTAAATGGCTGCAGGGATAAAGCTGGTGATGACAGAGAGGAAGAAGGGCAAATTTTAGAGATAGGAAATAAAATCAGTGGAACTTAATTTGCATTAAATGAAAGGAGGTAGAGGAAAGGACTTTGTTAGGGATTCCTTCAGGTTTCTGACCCACACCCAGATGGATAGTCCTTTTTTCTGAGAGGGAACTACTGGGAGAAAGCAGATTTGAGGTGGGAGGAATCATGAATTGTTGAGTTTGAGAAATTCAGGAGAAGTTGTGGTGAGAGTGAACAACTGTGTAAACAGATCTGGAGCACACGGAGGTCTAAACCAGATGGATGGTAATAAGGTGAGGTAGGGTAGGTTAGGAGGAAAGTAGAGTGAAAATAAGAATTTAGGGCTAAACTTATGGAACTCTGATATAGAGGTGAGTAGACTTGTGAAGGAGATGGAGAATGAGCAAAGATGATTTTTTTATGGTTATAGACTTCCCTTGGCCACACACCCATGGAGGACAAGTTGGTGAGGCACATTATCTATAATAAAAGTTGAATAATATCACAAACATAGGAATTAAAAGGCAAGAGACATAACAGATTAGTAGTCACTAAGTGAAGGATGTATATCAATATGATGCAGCCCTGGTAAATGCTGTTTACATACCCATGCATGGATCTGGCAATCCATCATCTCTTGATTTCTTAAATGCCAATTTTACATAATAAGACCTAAAGAGCCACTTAGGAGGCTGTGTCAGAAAGATTGCAAATTTGAGGCCAGCCTTAGTGAGATCCTGTCTCTAAATAAATAAATAAATAAATAGGGCTGGACATATAGTTCAGTGGTTTCTAGGTTTAGTCTCCAATACTGAAGAAAAAAACTAAAGAAATGTATTTAGTATTTTTGTTATACTAAAATATTAAGAAGAAACTTCTCAGGTTCTCTGTGGAGTATAGAAAGCATCTTTTACTATCTGGCAAAGCACAGTTTAGGAAATGCTGCTTTGAAGGCATCTCAGCTTTAACTTTCTTAATGAATAGCTGAGCAAAGGACACCAGCATCCTCCAATCATCAGGAACAGCCAGAAACTTGAGTCTTTCGCTCTTCTCTCTTCTAAACCCTTTTTAGAGTGCCCTGATGTCCTGTCAAATCTCCTGTATTTATTTTGGTTCCCATAGCTCAGGGCCTCATTGTCTCCTGACCAAACTTTCCATCTGTTTTCCACATCACTCTTCCTCCAGACATTTGTGTGGCCATAGGAATCCCCTGGCCCATCCCAGACTCTCGATGGCCTGGCTCTTCCTGTACAAATGCCTCTTCTTGCACTATTCCTTAACTACATTCTAGGCTCTAGAGCAGGGTTCTTACACATCAGAAGCACTTGGGGGACTTAATGCAGCCCCATCTTGGAGAGTCTGACTCAGTGAATCTGTCATGGGGTCCATGCTCCATGGCTGACTCTGAGCCATAACCAGAGGTGACAACCATTAGTCTGACCTCTCCAAATCACATGTGATTTCTTCAGTGGGACACCTGCTGTCATGCTCTGACTCTGCCTGAATGACCTTCCCCTGCATATTCACCTGGCTCACTCAGATCAGACTCTACCGAGATGTCTCCTCCAAGCAGCTCTCTCTGGCTCTTCCAGCCCTTCTCTTCTTGCTCTTGGTCAATAGTCTTTTCCTTGTGCTTACTATACTTGGGTTTATCACTCTGTGTGTTTACTTTTCATTTTCCCAAACTAATCCTGGAGTGCTTGGAGACAGAACACATATTTTGAGATACTATCACACTGCCTAGAACATAGTAAATGTGCAAATATTTGTTGAAATAATATGAAAGAGTCTACTTCTCTTTGTATTATGTCAGAACTTTGTGACCTAAAATCCAAAATAATTTTTCCTTATTTGTACATTCATGGCTATTCTCCATGGCCCCTTCCTAACATTTAACCATCATTCCAGATTTGCAGTAACACCCAAGATTATTCTTGGCATAATTAATCCATTCTGAAATAAAAGGAGCAAGAGTTGAGAAACCCTGGGTTCATGTCTTTGACCAATATGGGGCCTTGGACAAATTATAAACTTTCAAGAAGCTCAGTTTATCTGTTAAACATGGGAATAATAATACTGCACTGTTATTGTCAACCCCAATAAAGTAGTATTTGTAAACTGCCTGGGCTATAGTAAATGTTTATTAAGTATGTGTTCCTTTTTTAGCACTACTGAGCTAAATCTCCGGCCCTATGTTCCCTTTTTTGAGGAGAACCCATTCTATAATAGCAAGAACTAAATATTTCACCTGCAGAACCCAGTTATGCTCCTCATTCCCTGTATGGCTCTGATTAGCTTACAGTTCTCAGTAGCCTCATTTGGTGAATGAGCATAATTGTGATTGTCTTTATAGAGTACTATTTCTTATCCTTAATGTCCCTAACATTATTACTAAAAGTCGAATTGATTTCAACTATACTAAAATTTTGTTTCACATCCTGAAAAAATTCTTGAATCGTCTAAGATAAATCATTTATATGGAAGCTGTCTTTTAGTCAGTTTTCTTTACAGTGCTATGTTCCCTAGTAACTGGCATTAAAAAACTTGTATTTACATTTCAAGCATCTATGTAACTTGAGTACTGTTGGCCTCAGGGAGATCCTGAAGAGTTGGAATTCAGAAGGAATCCCCCAGACACAAGGCTCCACCAAGTCCCTGCCTCAACTGGGCAGGTTTTTCAACTTTCTCTGCTTAGAATGTCAGGAGAGGCCACAGCCTTGGCCTACTATGCTCCAAAAGAACAAGAAGGACTTACAGTTGTGAAGGTTGAAGAAGAGAATTATGTTTGGGGGCGGGACTTTGTCCTTCAGAGAAACCTCCAGAGTCAGGAGGTCTTCCGCCAGCGGTTCAGGCAGTTTGGTTACTCTGACTCTGCCGGACCCCGGGAGGCTCTGAGACAACTCCAAGAGCTTTGCTGTGGGTGGCTAAGACCAGAGACGCACACCAAGGAGCAGATCCTGGAGCTGCTGGTGTTGGAGCAGTTCCTGGCCATCCTGCCAGAGGAGCTACAGGCCTGGGTGCAGAGGCACCGGCCAGAGAATGGAGAGGACGCTGTGACTCTGCTGGAGGAGCTGGAGAAAGAACTTGATGAACCAAGGCAACAGGTAAGAAGTAGATGTTTTTATTTCTTTGTTTGATCTGTTGTAAGTTAATGCCATTGTGAGTGGAATTAACTAGGCTCTCAGGGAATTATTTAAATTTTGTCTTTTGTTGTATTATTTACTTATTGGCTCAAGTTACAAGGGGTATTAATGCTTTTGTTTTCTCTCTAATAATCTAAATAGGTTTCTGATTCCTCCTGTTCTACCCCACCGCTCTAGGCATTTTCATCTTGTGTAGCCTCAGACTCATAGTGCTGTGCTTGATTACTCTTAGGATACAGTTGATGGCCAAGAAATGATCTGGAAGGAAATGACACCCATGGGAGCACTGACATCTCTGAGCAGCTTACCACAGCCTTTGGTGAACCAGTGCAAGAGCCAGACTCAGGAGCCTCAGGCTTTCTATGAGAAAGGTAAGGAGCCTCAATCCATTTAGGGTTGAGGATAGAAGAGAGGGCTATCAAATTTGCCATGGCTCGTTAACCACTAAGTGTTGTAACTAAAACCAAGCTCTGAAGTGCACAGGAATAGCATACAGGGAGTCTCTGTGGCGGAGGCTCAATGCTCATGGAAGAAAAACACCTGCAAGAGGGTGCCATGTCTTTCCGTCCTACCAGGAATGAGGTCCACATCCTGTTCAGGAGGGCAAGGCACGGCCTGGTGAAGGGAGATTTCACTGAAGTGTCCAGATGGTCAAACTCACTGAGGAACAACACTCTGGGGCCAGAAAGCCCCCACAGGGAGGTGACATGGCACACAATTTGCTGGGAGGCTGAGGGGATGGTGCCTCTGAGTGTCCCACATGCTGCAGGAACAGAGAACAGACCGGATCTGGGAAGAAAAGCTCATTCTTCCTCCATTGCTCCTCTGGCTCCCTCTGCTGATAGAGCTCACGTGGTGCCTTTATTACAGGTAGGGCAGTGAAGGGTAGACTTGAAACCAGGAGGCAATAAATTGATAGCTGTCTGGATGCCAAGTTTGAGAACCAAAGGGACCTCGATTATGTTACTGGTAACATCAACCCTATAGGCAGCAGCTACATCAGGCTTGTTAGCTTGTTCCCATTAAACTTTTGTTACATCTAACTACTCTTCTGATTTCATCTTCACCAAGCAACCTTATTAACTTCCTATGAAGCTCAGCTGTTATAAGAAAGTGCATTAGTTCAGTTTGGTTTGTTACATTATTCATTGTCTTAATTACTTTCTTGTTGCTGAGAGAAAATACCTGGCACCCACAAGTTAAATGAGGAAATGTTTATTTTAGTTTACAATTTGTAGAGGTTTCAGTCTCTAGGGGGCTAGCTCCAAGGCAAGGTGGAATGGCAGACGAGAAACAGTTCATGGCATGGCAGGCAGGAAGCAGCAAGACTTCTTTCTTCTTTCCCTTTTTATTCCATCCAGGCTACAAGCCTATTGGTTGGTGTCACCCACACTCACAACAAGTCCTCCCCCTTTAGTAAATCCACCATCAAAACCTATAACCTTACTAAACGATCAGCAGACTAATCCAGTATCACACACCCATGATCCAGTCACTCCCAAAAGCTCCACCTCTTGAGTGCATGAGGTTTGGGGGAGAGATTTAGATATAAGCCATAATACTCATTGAATTTCTTTATGGTTTTATTGCTCAGTTTCATGAGCTTGGTTAATAAGAATCTGTCCCAAGAGGTGAATCTATTTATTGTATGATGATAGAATCAGGTTTGTAAGGACCAAGCCTGAGAGCCAGATCCTACAGCAGTGGTGGCAAACCTATGGCACATGTGCCACAGCTGGCTATTTGTTATCATTGTTATCAGCTCTAAAAGGTTCACCATCACTGTCCTAGACCTTTACAATTCACCAAAGAAATCCATATCATTCATCCACTGAGGTCTCCTTAAGAACTCCCTCTCTGTTCTTCCCCATACATCATAACCTGATACTGCCCTCTCAAATATCCTCCATACCAAGTGAGAGGTACATTAAAATGGATTTTGAAAAAATCATCTACTCCCCTGTCTTAAAGCAGCTAAATGACAATATTAAGTCAGTTTTTCATCACTATAATGAAATACTTGAGGTGGCTCATTTTATAAAGAAAGAAATATTTTTAGCTCACAGTTTTTCCAGGTTCATTTCTGGGGAAGGCCCTCTGCTGTGTCATATCACAGTGACAAGAGTACATGCAGGGTGAGTAATCACATTTTAAGGCAGGAAGCAAAAAGTGACTTGGGGTCAGGTTTAGGCTTTTATAGCAATCCTCTCAGAAAAACTGACTAGGGTCCCATGAGAAATACCTTAATCCCTTTGAAGGGCAGAACCTCAGTTGACCTAAGGAGCTCCCACTACCACCTCTAAATGGTTCCATCAGTTCCCACATTGCCACACTGGGACCAACTTGGCCATACATGGGCCCTGAACACAAGCTACACCCAAGGTGTAGCCATGTCTGAATCACTTAGGGTAGATTATTTTTACTTTCTTTTTAAAGGGCTTAAGGGACAGAGACTCTACTGTAATTTAAGTGCTTCTTGGGCTTTTTCTTTTCTGGGGAGGGGGTTTTCAGACAGGGTCTTGCTATGTACCCAAAGCTGGCTCTGCCTTCATAGTCTCCTGAAACCCTCTACCCCCTAATACTATCACCTTAGGGGTTTGGATTTCATTATGTGGATTTTAGAGGGTTGCATACATTCAGACCATAGAAGGAGCCAACTCTCAAAGTAGCTGAGGGAAAGAGGCACCACAGTTGTAATGAGGTCTGGGTGGAGCATTATCTAATAGCATTAATAGTAAAAGCATCTGTCAAATGTGCAAGAGAGGCCACATCCTTAGTTAAAAGGATTTTAGGCTAAACAGGAGTAGCAGGGAGAGCCTACTATAATGTGCACCCCACCATCCAGCTCCTGGATTTTGGGCTTGAATTCTTTGAGTTATTTCTGTGCTAACATTTCTAAGAACTCAGGTGACTATTTCTTATTCTACTTTTACTTTCTGTCATTTCTAGGAATTATTTTAACTGTTTATCTAATTCTCCTTTTTTTGTGAGCATATTTATTTTTATTATTATTTTAAAAATTATTTTATTAGTACATTTTAGGTATACATTTACATTTATCATTGGGTGTTTGTACCTGTACATGATGTGTCTTAGTTCTTATTTTTTTCCCCATTACCTGTGCGCCCTTCACCCCCTCCACCCTTCCCTATTTACATAGATTTTGTTTCCATTTTTTTTCTTTTCTCATAATTTTTCCTTTCCCTTCTTTCCATTCCCCTTCCCCTCCCACTACCCCTACCCCTTTAGACCTTTTAATATTTCAAATTATCAATTATTCATTTAATCATTTTAATCTTTATTTACACTTTAAGTTTCTCACACTAGTATCTAATTCTTATATAATCATAAATGTATAGTTGAAAAGTAAATCTTGATGCTTTTGTGATTTATACATCTAAGGTCAAAGTTTTTCTCTGGTTTCATACTGTGTATGTGGTACTGGATATTGAACCCATTGCCTTACACATTTTAGGCAAGTGTTTTACTACTGAGTTACACTCTTACCTCTCTTTTTTAAAATTTTTATTTTTACCTTGAGGTAGAGTCTCACTACAGAGGCTGATTTCCTCCAACTGCCTAAAAAGGGGGATGGCGAGGGCTAAAGCAAAAGACAATAGAGACTTGTGTAATTTCAAAGTATCTGGGGGGCTGCGAGGTCAGTGTCTCAGAGTGCGCAAAGACCAAGACTCTTCTGTACTAGCCAGCATTTGCTGGGTACACACAATAATTGGAGGGAGTATCAGGTGACTTGGAGGGGGCAGAGATCCTATGTTGATGCAAATCTCATGCTAATGAGGGTGAAAAGGAGAGCATTCCCAGGACAGTAGGCGGATGAATTAAGCTAATAAGGAATTTGTCCCTCCTCAGGTGAAACCTTTCTCTTTGGATTACTAATGGGCTCTCAAGGAACCAGGATGTCTCCAGCGATGTAATCTTGTCTTTGAGCACCACAGCATCACAGACCATTGAGGCCTCAGCTGTGTCCGGAGGCAGATGGCGTTGTTTCTGCAAGCCATAGCCTCATGGGCAAGGCAACCTCGGGCCTTAGACAGCTATACTCATACTTTAATTATGAAAAGATTTTTCCCCAAAGTTTATGTAGAAATGCTCCTGACACTAAGTTATTGAGCCTGGCCTTAAACTTACTCTGCCTCAGCACCCTGAGAAGCTGGGACTCAAGCAATGTGCTGCCATACCTAGCTTAGTCTCATAGTTTGACTTCATGTAGTTATAGATTTTGAAGACATATTTTAAATCCTATAAGTTATATTGTTCTATGTGTCTTATTCTATTGTTTATATTTATTTGATCCCTTTGGAATTTTCCAAAATGCAATTGCCTTCATGCTCTTTTAGTTCCTGTCCACCTACTCCTCTTCTATCCAGTACTAACCCTCAAATTATATCTTCTGTTCTCCTACTTTGGTAGACATGCCACTTTGGTAGAGATGCAAGACTCTGGATATTTTCACCCTGCTTATTCTGTATAACCTCTTCTCCTGTAATCCAGAATTGTCTCCTAACTTCCTGGTTTCTCACTGATGGTCCTATTTGTCACCTAAACCGTCTTTCCTGGTTCACCATTACTCCCCTCCAATACTGGCTATCATTTATTGTCCACTCTTTGAGGGGACCACCTCCGACTACCCCAGGCTACTGATCTGTATTCTACATTGAGAAGCTAGTTCTAAGAATTTTCCTTATAGTAGATAAATGCCTACTTCATTTGGTTTATGTTCTACCACAGTACTTTCCTTTCTTCTAACATGGGGACTAAATGACACTTGCATTTTCTGTTCAGTTTTAGATAACAAGATGGTGGGTGACAAAGTGTTGGCAGTAAAGCAAGAAATTATTGAACGTGTAACATCAGCAGCTCTGATATCCCCAGGAAGGCTTCCTGGAGAAACTGCTTCAGGACAGGTAGTTGAAGCTTTGGGAGGTCTGGACAACACTGAGAAGCAGAATGGAAGTGTTGGACAGAACACAGTGAATCAGCTCTCTTCCCAGGAAACACTTGTCAGTCTGGCACCCTTCACCAAGAAAATCCCCACGGAACAGAGCATCTTTGAATGTCATGGAAGTGAAGGACATCTCAGTCTGAACTCAAATGAAATTACAAGACTGAAAATTCACTCCGGGGAGAAGCTCTATGAATGCTTTGACTGTGGAAAGGCCTTTTGCCAGAGCTCAAAGCTGATTAGACATCAGAGAATTCATACTGGAGAGAGACCTTATGCATGTACAGAATGTGGCAAAGCTTTCAGCTTGAGCTCAGATCTCGTTAGACATCAGAGAATTCACAGTGGTGAAAAACCTTATGAATGTTGTGAATGTGGAAAAGCTTTCAGGGGCAGCTCAGAGCTCATTAGGCATCGGAGAATTCACACTGGAGAGAAACCGTATGAGTGTGGTGAATGTGGGAAAGCCTTCAGCCGGAGTTCAGCCCTTATTCAGCACAAGAAAATTCATACTGGAGATAAAGCATATGAATGTATTGAATGTGGCAAGGCTTTTGGGAGGAGCTCTATCCTTATTGAACATCAAAGAATTCACACTGGAGAGAAGCCTTATGAATGTAATGAATGTGGAAAATCCTTTAATCAGAGCTCAGCGCTCACCCAACACCAGAGAATACACACTGGGGAGAAGCCTTATGAATGTAGTGAATGTAGAAAAACATTTAGGCATAGGTCAGGCCTTATGCAGCATCAGAGAACACACACCAGAGTCTAACACCGTGGGTAAGAGTCATGCAATTGTGAAATATAAGAAATTCACTTTAAGGTTAAGACTCATAGAAGTTTCTCGAGAGCAGTTTCTGTTCTTCTAGCCCAGTTCAGTACGATAAGAGGAGATCCACACAACATTAGGATTGTTGAATGGAAGAATGATAGGTATTTCCTAGAACTGATTTCAGGATGAGGACTCTCACCAATACCTCCTTCTCCCTACTTTCAAACCAATACAGATATAAATGCCATTAGGTACCTTCACAGTAAGTCCAGAATTGCAGCAGATACTGAAAGAGCTCCTTATAATATGGCAAGGATCTTTGCCCAGCGAGGGCATTTGTGCATTTTGAGGTGGAGGCACATGCTAAGTTGAATTATGTGGCATGTGAAATGTTGAATTATGGCCTTCATCAGTTTAATGGTGTCTAAGGCTGTTTAATATTATCCAAGGAATGGTGGCTCATTCTGCCCCTTACAAATTCTTCCTACAGCTTTGAGCTTCCTGCTGAAGTTGATTCTGATCTTATGTGTTGAGTACCTGCTATGTTTAGCCACTGGGGCCTTTAGTTAAAAGCTTAAGGCTTGCAAGCACAAGGTCTTGAATTTGATACCCGTACCAAAAAGAAAAAAGCTTAAGTGATATACCTGTTTACTAAATAAGTAATCACAGTGAAGTGCAGTAAGTGTTTTGCTAGGATAAATCCAGGCTTCTGTTGAAGTACACGGCAGGGATATCTTACATGGTCTATGAGTCACTAAAGATTTCCCAGATTACATCAGTTAAGAACTAAATTGTAGAAAGTTAGCCAGGTGAAAGGCACAGGGAAAGAGGCAGAGGTTATAAAACATACGTGGCATAAAGCCAAGGGAGATCTGGAAACATCCCTTTGTCAGGATTCCACTCTTAATAGGAATTCTCATACTCTGGTTTAGAAGCCAAGATGTGTTGGTTTCTCTTCCTATTTATAATCGCTCTTACAGATCAAGTGAGCTATGAGGCTTCCCCATGCTCAGAATTAATGTGGTAGAAGACTCTGGTGCATTTTATGGAAATGGCATTATACGTATGTCAAGGAAAAAGTACATATTGGAGGCTGGTGGCAGAGTGGGTGATGGAGTGTTTGTATCCCATCATTCTGGGGCTCAAGAAATTCTCCCTTTCCAGGCCCCACTATTTCCCATTCTCTGACCCTTTTTCTCAGCACCAGGTTCACTTGTAAGCCACTTGAGGGCAATAAACATTTGTTGGGCCTAATCCCTCAAAACTGTACTTCCCTAATTTTTGTTTTGGCAGTTTTAATTAACCCGTGATTCTTGAAGACAATTCCTGTTAAGAGTAATGTTTGAAAACTTGCTAATCATAGTTATTGTGGGTAACGGGAGGTACAATTAAGGAGGCTTTGTGTCCAAAAGGTGCAATTGAGGAGTCTGTGTGTCCAAAGATTGTGCAAATTATCACTGAGCAAAATCAATCCTAAATTTAAAGGGATCCTTAATGATTTAATGTTCTTACTGCCTGGGAACTAATTGAGAATGCTGATAATACAAAAAGTATAAATAACCACAATCCCATTATCCATAGGAACAGTTAACATTTTGGAGTACTTCCTATTAGTATTTTTTTCCTTTAATCCTAGTATGTTTGGTAAAAATCTTGCCTAGTAAATAATTTTTGGTAACTGATTTTAACATTTATGTTGAATACACACTTCAACTGGTCAATATCAGAAAGTAATGTAAGATGTAATAAAACGAGTTTTAAAAGTTTTCTTTTGAAATTATTCATTCACAAATAGGGAACACAGTAACCTGAGTGTGGAGAGAGGATAAGGGTCAAGAAAGGGCTGTGAGAAGTCAGAAAAATTTGTTTTTTCTTCTCATTCCCTGGGCCAAAAAATATCAGGAAACTATGAAAGCCAGTCTCTAGGAATGCAATTGATCAGCCTCACAAAATGGACATTTGGGGTTGTGGAGGAACCATGAGAATAACAGAATTCTCTTCAGACATATACACATTCTATGTCCACTACAATTAGGATTCTTTCCTTTGATGGATTGTGTGCACCAGACTGCAACCCTTAGCACTAACTGCTGAGTAGAATCAATGGCCTGGGAGACTGCCATGACCACCCCTTTCTCCCTCAGCAAGACCTCAATAGAAACAGAAGCTTAAGAGACCACGGTCAGATTTGCTTTAAATTTCCAGTCCTCTCAGTTGTTAGTGGGCTATGGAAATGAGGGGGAAGGTGGTAGGTAGGAAAACTGGTATTTAAGCATTTTGCCTAAATTGCATTTTAAAAAAAAAATTCCTGTTAAGATCCATTTAGAATAGACATTGCTAACCCCCAGAATGCCTCTATACCGAGAAATAAGACAGCCCTGAGCAGAAAGGCATGAACTGCTTCTCTTACAGAAAAGATTGGTGAAAGAAAAAAATATGTTTCACAAGCATACAATGTTGAACTTCTGACCGTAAAAAGACCATCTTCTTCGGCTCTTTTCACATAAGACTTCAGACTTGCTTACAGCTGCAGAATTCATGGGCTAGCACTAATGACCAAAGGACTTGAACATTTTAAGGGTGTTGCTTTTCTCAACCATAAATCTTTTTTTTTTTTGGTACCAGGGATCGAACTCAGGTCCTTGTGCTTACGTAGCAGGCGGCGGAACCACTGAGCTAAATCCCCAGCCCTCAGCCATGAATCTTTAGGCATGTGACTTTTATTTGCACAGGGACTTACAATCTGCAGAGGACTTTTTAAATATTATATTTGAGATGGGCAAGTCTACCATTGTTGTTTTATCAACGATAAAATTGGGACTAGCGATATAGCTCAGTGAAGTGCCTGCCTAGCTAGCATGCCTGAAGCCACGGGTTCAATCACCAGTAGGGAGGTGGGGGAATGGTAACATAATTGAGGATGAGTTAAGTTTGCTAACAAACCAAGTCTTGGAAGGAACAGAGATGCTACAGAAAGCAAGTTTTGTTTTGTTTTAATATTTTCCCAACTATCCTAGGCTTCCATTCACTTTTTGGTGCTGGGGATTAACATGTTAAGTATGCACTCTACCACTGACCTACACCTCCAGCCCTTTCTTTAGAATACATAAAAGCACAATAGAACATTAAATTACCTATACCTCCCACCCAGAGATAACCAGTATAGCACCTTGAGGTTGTATTTCCAGTACTTTTAATGCATAAATATATATTTTACATGGATCTTATTGTACATATTATCTTGAAGTATTTTTATTTAATAATATATCATGAATGCTTCACTTCTTTCAGCATTAATCAACACCAGTTTTAACAGCTTTTAAGACTGTACATTCATGATCATTTCTGAAATATATTCCCAGGTAGAATTTCAAGTCAAAGGCAATGCTTAAGGCTTTTGGTGCTGATTGCCAGAGATACTGTCTATTCACATTCCACCAGCAGCACCAGTCCCAATTTCCCTGAAATCTTTTATCAGTTTTGTATGTGCTGTCTCAACTCTTGATTCAATACACTCTTTAACTCATAAGATTGAACATACATGTATTGTCCATTGGCACTGCTTCTTTTGTGATCTATTTAATTTTCCTATTGGGATTTTTTTCATGGAGAGGCAATATAAAATGGTTCCATAGCAGAGCTGAGTTCAAAGTCTGACCTTACCACTTTTTAGCTATGAGCTTTAGCCTTCATTTCCTCATCTGCAAAATATGGGCTGCAGTAGGAAATAATTCATATACACAAAGCCCTTAGCAAATACCTCTTACATTTCTTACTGACATATGCAGGAGCTCTCTATAGTGTATTTCTTTTGCAATATATCCCTACTTAACATCCTATCATTTTCAGTTTCTCTGGAAAAGGAACAAAGCAAGAGTTGTACAGCCCTTATATATTTTGTTACATTCTATGATAGTTCCAACTGATACCATTCTTTTTTTTCATTTCTCTCCAAACATGGGCACTTAGCTCTCTTGCAATTCTTACTGGCCAGCACATACTCACCTATATACATTAAGGAGGGTGTTCTTTTTATCTTCATGAAAATTCTTTTTCTATGCACAGGATTCTGGATTTCTACACAGATTTCTCCAACTAATTAGGTCTATTGAATGGTGTATTTTTCTGCTGCTAATTAACGTGTACAACTTTCCACCTCACACCAGGATCCAGCATAAGGCTCCTCAGAAGAGGAGAAATCTTGATGGAACATGATTGTTATCTCCTGTCTTCATTTCTCTTTAACACTGTCTTTAACACAATTTGCAGAAGATACTGTGAAATACAGTTGATATTAGGACAAAACCGAATGTGTAAGGTACCTGGAGAATAACTCACAGGCCTAGCCACTGACAAATACCTTTTGAGCACCCGAGCCCAAGGGAGTATACTAGGAATTGTGAGGCTGTCCCTTCAGAAATAAATATGGCAGCTCCCAACCTAGTCTTGGGGATTAACCTGACAGCAGGTCCAATACTGTCTTAGGAAACAAAGGAGACTTACATTTAGGAGAGGGAAATTTAGACCTCTAAAGGACTCCTAACATCCAGGCTAGGTTCTTTCATACATCTCCACCCACCTCCCTATGGAAATTCTACTCTATTTAGAGGTTGGGAAACAACACAAACCAGCTATTAGCTCTTCTCCTTGGGTCACACTAAGCAAGACAAAGCTCCTCACAATGCTGTGGTTCAAGGGCTCTAGGTTTTGTCTATTAACAGAAACTTCTCCATTTGTTTTTATTTTGCTATAGGCACTACTTCTGAGGCTACACTCATGTTTCTTACAGAAGTGGCTCTAATTCAAAAGGAACTTAGCAGGAAGTTTCACACTTTCTTCTTGGTCTTTATCTATTGCTCCCTCTAATGGGAACATTTTCCCTGGGACCACCACCTCCCTGGCTAATCCCTACTCATCCTTCACATAATTTTTGCCCCTTCCTCATGTAAGGCTGAGAGGTCCTTAAAATCACAAAGCACTCATCACACCATTGTGTCATTGCCTGACTAGCTGCCTTGCCCATTAGATCATAGGGATTATACTTTACTTTCCATTGTACATCTAGTCTCTGGTATGAAGGAAGTACTCAAAAACAACAAACAAAAAACCTATTGGATAAATAAATTTGTACTTTCTTCTATGCATATTTAATTTCTAGCCTGCTCTTCTATTCTAAATTGGTCCAGTGAAACTTTTTAAGTTCCTAAGACAAAGTCCCTCACATTATCTACGCTATGTCCCAAGCCGGGGGCACACTATCAGCTGTAGTATCAAAGCCTGGATCCCTACACCCTTTTCATGACATTTTGATAGAAAACGAGGCTTCAATATTATATTCCCGTTTTTCCTATTTCCTGAGTATTTCTAACTGTAAAAGAAAAGCTGAAGGTAATAATTCTCCCATTATCTGTTCTGATTAATCCGAGGAAAAGCTTTCATGGGACAAGTCACACTAGCATTGGGAAATGGTGCATAAAGCAAGCTAGAATGACTCAAGACCTAGTAGTTTATAACTCTGATGGAATCATGCTCCAAAGTAAACCTGTCTGGCTAATAAAAATAAAAATCTGATAGAAGTATTTACAATATTCATTGTATTCACAAGTTACTTCACAGTGTGGACTCTCTGGTGGCGAACAAGGACTGATTTGTGCCTGAAAGCCTTCCCACATTCATTACATATATAAGCTTCATCCCCAGAATGGATTCTCTGATGCTGGACAAGGGCTGACCTCCTTTTGAAGGTTTTGCCACATTCATTACACTGGTAAGGTTCCTCTCCACTGTGAATTCTCTGATGTCTGATGAGGTTCGAGCTTAGACTGAAGGCCTTTCCACATTCATTACATTCATAAGGCTTCTCTCCACTATGTATTCTCTGATGGGTAATCAGCTCTGAACTCTGCCTGAAAGCTTTCCCACATTCATTACATTCATAGGGTCGCTCTCCTGTATGAATTCGTTGATGTCTAATAAGCTTTGAGCTCTGACTAAAGGTTTTTCCACACTCATTACATTCATAGGGTTTCTCACCAGTGTGTATTCTTTGATGTATAATGAGATATGAACTTTGACTGAATGCTTTGCCACACTCATTACATTTGCAAGATTTTTCACCAGTATGAATTTTCCGATGTCTAATGAGGGCTGAGCTCTGATTGAAGGCTTTTCCACATTCACTACATTCATATGCTTTCTCACCACTGTGGATTCTTTGATGAATAATAAGATATGACCTTAAACTAAAGGCCTTCCCACACTGGTTACATTTATAGGGCTTTTCTCCGGTATGGATTCTCTGATGTTGTGTAAGAGAAGAATGCTGCTTGAAGCTGTGGCCACATGTATCACATCTATAAGGTCTGTCTTCTGTAGCAACTTTCTGACTTGTTACAGAGTTTGTACTTAAAATAAGGCATCTTTGAGGTTCATCAAGATGGTCTCTCTTTCCTAAAGATTTGTGTGTGACGATCACTTGCCTAAAACTGTTTCCGTGGGGAGGGGATCTTCTTAATTTCTCCCCAGTAGCACTTCTTTGCTGCCACTCTAAGTTGCTTTCATGCTCACCAATTCCTCCAAATGAAGATTCCTGAGAGAGCTCCTCTGGTTTTTCTCCTGAAATGTTCTCCTCTGCTGCTGTCTCACTGTTCTCACAATCTGAAATGATAAATAGCAAAAAGACCAGATTTTACATTTCTTTAGTCATTCTAAATATTCACTTTCTACATGAGAGAAAGTAGAAGGGTCTATCTATAATGATGTCACTGTCTATCTGTAATTTTTCTGCAACTGGTCAATAGGGTCTTTAATGCCAATACCTATACCTACACTTGTTTTGTTTTTTTAATTTTGTGAGACAGGGTCTTGCTATGTAGTTCATCCTGGCCTTGAATTCACTATGTAGTCCAGTCTGGCCTCAAACTCAGCAATCCTCCTGTCTCAGCTGGGATTACAGGCGTGAGCTGCAATGCCTGGCTTATACCTACACTTTGCATTTATCTTTTTCTGCCTTCTCTGAGACTCACCCAGTAATTTTATTATTTTCAACCTCTTTCTTGACCGACTCCTGTTTATCAGCATTTAAATAAGCTCAAGTCTCTCTCACTTTTTAAAAACCAACCTCCTTGCCTACACATTTCTGCCAAGCAACCTCACTCACTCCCATTCACAGTAAAATTTCTTAAAAGGGATGTCTGTACTCATCTTCATTCTCCATCTGCCTTCTCCCTTACCCTCTTCTCTATCCCTATCACTTCCACTGATACTACTCTTGTCAAAGTCACCAACTTAACTGCATAATCCAATCCAGACTTTCTGGATCTTAGTTGGCCTCTGTAGCACTGACACCGGGGACCATATTTTCCTTCTAGAGACATTCTCTTCTAGCCACATGGACCTCTTTTGTGGCTGATCCTTCTTAGATGCCAGGGCTGGTAACACATATAGTGTTCCTCCAGACCTGTTCTGGGCTCTCATGTATCCTCACTGTGCAAACTTTCTATCCCATAGGTTTCAATTACCACTTATGTTGTAAGGTAATGCCTCCCCATATCGCCAATCCTATCTCAATTCTATTAGACTCTCATATCCAACTTCCAATTTGGCATTTTCTTTTTTTAATGATGTTGATTATAGCCCAACTTATTTTTTTTTTTCCTGGTACTAATTTCCTATCAACTTTAAAAATTTTTTATTAGTACATATTTGTAGTACATGATTATATTCACTGTGGGGAATTAGCAAACGTACATAACACATCTTATTTCTTTTTACTTCCTCTTCCCCTTCCCTCTCTCCCTCTTGGTTCCTTCCCATCAACTGGGTATTTTCCTTGTGAATATTTCGCAAGCAGCAAAACATCCAGATCTACACATGTCACCAGATACATTTGTTTTTCCTTAATTTTCCCATTTAGCTGAATAGTTAAAGAGCACCACTATTAACCAGACTGTTCAATACTAAAACTTGAGCATCACCTTCCACTCTTCTTCCTCATGTTCCACTTTTTAACAATGACCAGACAGTGGAATGCAATTCTTTTTTTTTTCCTTTGGTAGGGGACTGAACTCAGGACTTTGGGCTTGTGAGGCAGGCACAGTGCCACTGAGCTAAATCCCCGGCCCCAATCCAAGGCAATTTTAATGAAGACAATAAGCATTTAGCCTTGATGTTCCCCATTCCTCTACCTTAATACACAGATTTACTCATTGTGAGCATTTGAATTAGAAATCTCTAACAAGCCTCTAGTTTTACCTTCCTCAAATTCATTCTCACTGCAGCTAAGTTATAAACTGGAAATCCAGCCACATTACTCCTTTGTGCCATGCCCTTTAACTATACCCCTCTGGACTTAAGAAACTGTTCAAATGAATTAATATGACACAAAGTTTTTACATGTCCCATTTTCTTGTCTAGTTCTTTCCCCTGACCTTCCTTAGCAATTCTCTACCCAAGTTAAACTGAACTACCTACAATTTAGTACTTTGTAGTCTCTGCTTAGGCCACTCATCCCTCCACCTATTTACTTGGCTTTCTTCTACTCATATAGTTCAAATCTTAGTTTAGGTAACTCTTCCTCCAGGAAATGTTCCTTGAACCTCTAAGATTGGGTTAGGTGCCATCGTATGTGCTCTGACAGTATCCTGTTCCTTTTATTCCATAATAGAGTACTACTGCATTACAATAATCTTTTAGCTTGTTCACTACTCATCTAGATCTGACAGCTCCTTGAAGATAAGAGACCTATCCTAACATAGGTATAAATGCCCACAACAGTATCAAACACGTATCGGTATTCTAGAAACTGACACAGTTCATGAGGGCTAGTGAATACAAAGCTGCTGACCTGGGCACTTCTATTTAGAAAAATAAACATGATGCTTACATGTGGCAAGTTTATAAACACAATTCATTCTGCATCCTCAAACCCAGAGGCTTAACTGATATGAGTTCCCAGACAAATTCCCATTCCTCACCACTTCTAGGTGAAAGGCAAGGTTTCCAGGATTTCAGCTGTGTCTTTAAAGGCTGGAGTTGGATGTTTGTTGATTCTTGGGAGGTTCTAAGAAAAGTCAAATCCTTCCATGGCACTGCTGGTCCCTGAGGATTAGTTGGGACCTAAAATAAGTAAAATATGGTTAGCTTTGTGAGAAAATCCCCAGGGAAACTGCTTAGTAAAAATCGACATGTCAACAAGAGTATCTCTGCAGATGAAGAAGAAGGGGAAAATTTAAGGGTAGAGACAGGTACTGCCCTGTCAATCACTGCAGGGTCATGTAGAAACATGTAACTTTTCATCTCACTGTTAGGATACTACATGTGCAGGCTGTACATTCCTTTTCCCACAATACATCCTTCTCTCTGTTCCCACCTGCTGCCCTGGATCATCAAACTCTCTCTCCAAATCCTCCAACAGGTTCACAGCTTCCTCACCACTTCTTGGACTCTGCTGCTGAACCCAGATCTGCAGCTCCTCAGGCAGGATGCTCAGGAACTGTTCCAGCACCAGGAGTTCTAGGATCTGCTCCTTTGTGTGCAACTCTGGCATTAACCACTGATAGCACAGCTCCTGGAGTCGGCACAGGGCCTCCCGGGGCCCAGGTGTCTCGTGGTAGCAAAACTTTCTGAATTGCTGTCGAAATAGTTCTTGGCAGGATTGAGTATCCCCATTCTGTTTAAATTTTGGACCCCAGGAAAAGCTATCTTCTATTTTCACTAGTATTACTCCTTGTTCCGGATGATCCTGAGGTATCAGGGCTGAAATTACACTGGAATCTTCAGCCATTCTGGGCTGAAACAGCTTAGCAAAAAGCTCAGTACAACTGGGTTCTGTGGTTGAGAATTTCTTTGAATAATTTCTTCTTTCCTAAAGGATATAAAAGCACGGTTAACTTAGAGACGGAAAAAAAAAATCTAAGAACTTTTAATAAAAAGTGGCCTCAGTAATGTTGAAAAGTAGGTGTAAGATTGTAACTAAATAAAGAATAATCAAATGACAAACTAAAAATCATCCACCTCATTACAGGAAATTATTTTAGAAGAGAATACGTATTAATGTGAACCACATAATGACAAAGTAATTTCCTTTTAAGTTCTTTCAATTCTGATTGAATCAAGAAGAAAAACTGTCTTCAACATGAATGTTGAACTTTCATTAACTTTTTAATAAAATTTAGAACTTGTACTTCCAAGGGTAATAAATAATATCCAGGTACAGAATTTTAAAATTTACTTGTAGTTACCTCCTACCTATACAGAGTTAATTTTCATTTAAGGTAGTGAAATATTTTTAAAAACTCAGGTCAAACGAGTTGACTTAAGTATTACGGGATATTCACCATTTGGTCGCAACTGGTATTTACTGAATTTCTTCAACCAACACTGGAGCACATATTATATGGCTCTGTCCGGAGTCGGCCTTAGGCTGAAAACATTTCTGCTCGTAAATGAATCTACGGAGGAATGAACCACGAGTTGTTAAATCGCTGCGTATGGGTTCAAAAACGTTAGGTATCACAGGCACTGAAAAGGTCAACCCTGAACTCTAAAAGCAGTACTTTGAGAGTACAAAAATTTCATGTAAACTGCATATGGCAACATTTATGCACTAAATTTTGTGAGACTAGGCATGACTTTAGGATGGGGTGGGGATGGCCACAGGCGCGTGCGCCCTTCAGTTCAGTCAGCAGAACTCACCAGGAAAACCGAATCCTACCTAGTACTCCGGGGAGCACTGCGGTCAGCCCGAGACCAGTCAGAATATTTCGGCTACACATCTCTGGTCTACCAGGAGCCAGCTGCACTCGGCCCTGTTTTTTTTTTTTGTACTCCTGGTTATACCACAGCGTTTGCGGAGTCACGGGAGTAGGGAAACGACAGCGCTCGGACCGCAGACCACGGAGCCACGACCCGGGACGGACAGACTGAGGAGCAGGCTTCCTCCACCTCCAGTCCGTGCCAGTGCCGTGCGCCCACCCTCCCCTCCCTCCGCCACGGGGCCCGCGTCCCTCACCGCGAAGCCTAGGAGCCGCCAGGGCCCAAGCTGCAGACCCGAGGGGCCAGCCACAAAGACCGGAAGTGCGCACCCGCGGCCTTCCGCTGCGAACCCCGTAGCCTCTGCCCGTCACGCCCCTTTCTCGCAGACAGCCAATCAGCGCCGTGGGTTCCACTCTTTCTAGCGCGGTCGCTCCGGGCTGTTGGCCTGGCGGAGTCCGGAAAGCCGGCAGAGCGTGGACTGTACGGCGGGGGTCCCCGAGGAAGGCGACCCCTCTTTAGAGGACACTCCCACCTTCCCGTGCCTCCTCCCACCCTGGCGTTCCTCAGCTCCTCTAGGTCCGGTCATTGCCGACTAATCCACTCCCAGATTTTTTAGGAAACTGTTCAGGTTGTCTTGTAATTCCAGTTTTTTTCCATGATCTCTGGCAAAAGTACACGCACGGATGAATGGGCTGAATGAAAAGTAACGATCCCTTATATTGCTCATTTGACCATTACAACAGCTCTAGGCGGTAGCTGCACTGTCCCCACCTCACAGCCGTAGGCAATGCCCAAAGTCGAGCAGATTGTGACCAGACGGGTTGAAGTCCCCATGGTAAGGTCTCCAGGTCCCAACTCCTGCTCCTAACTGGTTTTCCCACCTTTCACCGGAACCTGGATGGCATTGCGTAGCCCCCCCCCCCCCCCCCGTACTGGGGATCGAACTCAGGACCTTGCGCTTGCAAGGTACACGTGGGGCCATTGAGCTAAATCCTCAGCCCCATTAAGTAAAATAAATTACTAATTTTTCTTTGCAGTTTTGTAGGTGATAAACGATTTCTCTTTTTAAGTTGCTGAACTTGAGAGGTTAATATATTTTTTCATGTTTATTGACCATTTATGGTTCTTAAGAGAAATGGGTTTCCCCTTTTAAAAAAAATTAAGGTGTTAGTATTTCCCTTTTTAATTTGTGAGTAGTTTTTTTTTTTACTTGTCAAGGATATCAACTCAATTGTTATAAATATTTTTCACTTAGTTGTATTTGTTTTTTAAATGTCAGTTAAAATGATAAAAAGGTGATACATGGAAGCAAGTTTTCCTTTAGTCGCTAAGACACTGAAACCGCAGCTATTTGGAAAGAAATGTTCACTAGCATTCAGTGCTATTAATAACTCAATGATTCTTAGTCACTGAAATGACAACAGCAATTGTAAAAAGAAAACATAATACTACTTTGTTTTTTCAGTTATCTATTGCTGTATAATATACCACTCCAAGACTTAGTCACTACAACTAACAGATGTTTTATTGTTCACAATTATAGGGTCAGGAATTCAGACAGAGCTTAGCAGATATTGCTAGTCCATGCTTTATATGATGCCAGTTTTAGTGGATTAACTGGGGTTCGATGGCTTTACTTACATTGTGGGGGTTGTGGTGCTGCCTTTTGGCTGGAGCTGCTTGATTTTTCTATTACAGCCTCTCTCCATGTAGCTAATCTCTCATCCATCATTCAGGACTTTAGCCTAAGCTTTCTTATATGGTGGCTGTCTCCCAAGAGAGTGAAGAAGGAAGGGAAGATCCTAGTTATTTTAAAGCCTAGATCTGGATCTGGCATTGTATTCCTTTTGCTGTATTTCACTGATAGAAGGACTAGATTCACAGAAAAGGGAAATTGATTTTACCTTTTACTCAGAGCAGTGACTTGAGTGTAAGAAGAAATTTGCAGTTATTTTTACATTCAATCTACCACACTTTATTATATTGAGATATTTAAGAAGACTACTTTTTAGGAATGTAGTTGTTAAAAGAATGAAGGTATATCAGTTAAAAATACTTTCCATTCCATCAATGGAAACTTTACTAAATGTGTTTATTGTTAAACCTTTAAAAAAAAACTTACGTAACTATTTTCATGGAGGACAAGCCATTCCCAGTGTCTAATTCAGTGTCTTGGCACTATTGTCAAGGACCCAGGCTCCCTCCTCTTTCTGCCATCTTTCACTGTGTTGGTTTGTTCTCCAGTCAGATTCTCCTTATGGCCATAAAGTAGCTCTTTCAGTGATGGGAAGCAGAATGAAGGTACCTCACCCACTTTGGTCACCCTTCTCCCTTTTAAGACTAAGGAAACCCTCTTCTTACCTCAAAATTTCCCCTCATGTCACATTAGCTAAGATTGCTTCAAGTACTTACACCTAGGCAAGGGGGCTAAGGGCTCCATGATGGGCTCAGGCAATTAAGATTCCTATGCCCAGGAAAAGACTTTATGAACAAAACCTCAGTAGCTCGGGAACTAGCACAAAGAATCAACAACTGGGATCTCATCTTATTAAAAAAGCTTCTGCACTGCAAGAGAAACCACCAGCAGAGCTAAGAAACAACCTACTATGTGGGGAAAAATTTTTACCAGCTGTTCCTCAGACAAAGGTCTACTATCTAGAATATATAAAGAACTAAAAAAAATCAGACCCCCCCAAGTATAAAGACCCAATCCAAAAATGGGCATCTGAAATGAACAGACATTTCTCAGGCAAAGAAGTAAAAGCAGCAAATAAATATGAAAAAATGTTCAGCATCACTGGTCATTCCAGAGATGCAGATGAAAACAGTGCTGAGATTCCGCCTTACCCCAGAAAGAGTGGCTGCTGACAAGAAATCAACCAATAACAAATGCTGGCGGGGTTGTGGGGAGAAGGGAACCCTTCTCCATTGCTGGTGGGAGTGCAGACTGGTGCAACCACTGTGGAAATCAGTATGGCAATACCTCAAAGAACTAGGATTAGAAGTCCCATTTGACCCATCTATTCCTCTCCTGGGTATCTTCCCAAAAGAATTAAAAGAATCGTACCACAGTAATATATGTGCACTCATGTTTATAGCGGCACAGTTTGTAATAGCTAAAACTTGGAAACAGCCCAATTGCCCATCAACTGGAGACTGGATAAAGAAGATGTGTGTGCTTTTTTTTTTTTTTTTTTTATAAAATGGAGTACTATTCAGCCATAAAGAATGAGAAACTGGAGACATTTATAGCTAAGTGGATGCACATTGAGGCCATACTCTTAAGTGAAATAAATAGGACACACGTGTAAATACCAAATAGTTTCTCTGGTGTGAAAAACTAAAAGTGTAAATAAGGATCAAAATGTATAATTGGTATTATGAAATAGGAAGAAAATGTTTAAAGGAGTAGGGGAAGTGGGAGGGGTAGGGGAAAGGAAAGAAGGGAAAAGAAAAAATATGAGAAAAGGAAAAACATAGAAACAAAGTTTTGTAAATAGGGAAGGGTGGAGGGGGTGAAGGGAGGGCAGGGGAATGGGGAGAAAATAAGAACCAAGACACGTCATGTAAAGGTACAAGATCCCATGATGAGTGTAACTGTATTGTATTCTTAAATGTACCAATAAACTTAATGAAAAAAGAGAAAAAAAAAAAGATTCCTATCCCAGGGCTGAGGAGGGGACCAGCCTCTCCTGAAGAGGCAGACCCTATGGGGAAGGTGTATGAAATAGCATAATTTTTTTTTTTTTTTTTTAGTACTAGGGATTGAACCCAGGACCTTTGCACTGAGCTATACCCCTAGCCGATTTTTAATTTTGAGACAGGGTCTCTGTTTCCCAGGCTGAGCTAGAATTTGCAATCCCCCTGTTGTTAGGGGTTGTGACTGTCTTAGTTTCTTGGTATCCCAAATAAAGAATTGAGGAGCTGGGGATTTAGCTCAGTGGTTCTGCTGCTTGCCTTGCAAGCATAAGGTCCTGAGTTCGATCTCCAGTAGCAAAAAGATTTGAGCAGGACACATAGAGGTAGAAGTGGAAGTATAGATTTATTAGCAACAGTGTACTCCTCAGGGTGGGAGTGGGCAGTGAAAAGAGCTCAAGGCCCAAGGGAGCCAGGTGTGAGTCTATGTGTGGTTTTGACAGGGAGGGAGTAGCTTTTTGAACTAAGAGGGCGGGCACCTTAAGCCAACCAGGGGCAGCTCTCCTCCTTGCTGTTGGAGTGGGAAGTTTCTGTCCCTACGTGGATCTCTTGAGGAATTGTCATGGCACCCAGAACCCACAGTGGAGTGTCAGACCACAATGTAAATGAGGTTATAATTAATTATAATTGAGTGGAGGTCACTTTTCGTTAAGATGTTCCATAGTTTATGTGTCTCTGGGCATGGCTTAGTTGTTAGAGGTGGGTGGGGTTTGTGGTTTCTAGAGAGGTTATTTTGGGCCTCCTGGAAACTTGAGTGCATGCACCCGCTCGTCTTTACCACTGTGGTGGAGCTGTGAGAAATGGACATTCTGCAGTTTTAGAGAGCCAGCTTGCTTTTTCCCCGTTTGCTCTTCAGACACCCTCCTTCCAGGAATTTCTCCTCTCTACCCCCTACTTCTTTCCTGCTTCAGCCTCCCAAAGTGCTGAGATCACAGGCCTCGGCTTCTGGCCTAGGTTAGCATAATGCTTAGAAGCAGAGAAGGGGGATAGGTAGATGGATGTTGAGCATGCAGCAGTAGCAGCTCAGGATTCCTTGTTTAACAACCCACCGTTGAAGGAGTGTTCAGATTTAAGACCCAACACTCAGACTTATGACCCATCTGTTTTTTGGGTACAGTTCTGTACATCTTGTTTATAGAGGCTCAATGTCTTTTTTTTTTTTTTTTTGCACAGTCACCTTGTTTATATAGTACTGTAACTTTTTTTACTGCAGTTTTATGCTCTGTAATGTATTATAGTACTGCATGTAAGAGTTACGCAAATAAAAGCAAAGTTATCAAGTTGGAGTTTCCTTGGACCATTTCTTTGTTCCAAATATTGTAAGGTACATACTGTCTGCAATTTCTCACTTAGTGACCAATTCAGTTAATGATCCAGTTGCAGGAACAGAACTCTGTTGTTGAACGAGGAATGTCTGTACTTCATTCAGTAGATAATCTGATTTCTGTGTAAGGATAACAAAACAGGAAACTAGGAAAAAATTCAGATTTTTTTTTTTTTATACAGGGTTTTGTCATATAATTCAGCTTGGCTTTGAACTCACTATATAGCCCAGGCTGGCCTTGAACTTACAGCCATCTTCCTGCCTCAGTCTCCCAAGTGCTGGGATTACAGGCAGGCACCACTAGATTTGTCGCAGATTCTCTTTTTTTTTTTTTTTTGTGGT